GACAAGTGACTGGAGAGCAGCATTTGTGAAAAGGATCTTGGGGTACTTGTCAAGAGCAGGCTGAACAGGAGACAGCAGTGTGATGCAGCGGTTAAGAAGGCAAACACCAACCTTGGGTATATAGCTGGAAGCATGGCTTTCGGATCTAGGCAGGTGTTGATACTGCTCTACATGACTGTGGTGTACCCATAACTGGAGTACTGCATCCAGTTCTAGGCTCCACATTATAGGAGAGGCATAGCTAGGGGATCTTTTAGCAACTTATAGGTATGGGAGCGGAGGTCATGTGGAGGAGGGTCATGACTTGTTCCCTGTAGTAGAGGGCAGGACATGTTCCTATGGGGTAAAGCTCAAGGAAGCAGGCTTCAGGTTGGATGTCAGGAAGTGCTTCCTGATCCTTAGGAATGGGCTTCCAAGGGTGGTGGTTGTGGCCCCATCAGTGAGGTGTTCAGGGAAAGATTGGACAATCACGTGTTGGGGATTACACGAGCAGAGCCAGCTAACGGGGGGGAGGGGGGGGATCAGACTAGATGGCCCAGGAGACCCCTTCTGACTCATTTTTTCTCCCTATCTTTCTATACAATTATGTGAGTCTGATTGCAAGGTACTACATTATATCATGCTATAGTATGGGCTACAAATGTGTGCACATGCATATTTATTCACATTAATACATTTGACAAATACTTTCAAGCACATGTTTTTTGTAACACATTGTCCATTGAACAGATATTTTGACCATCTTTTTGCACAATGACATTATTGCTGAACCCTCCAGTAATGACTTTGAAAGAGCATTATTGTTTCCTGTAATAGTTGGATACATACACCTCTATACCTAAAGATGTTCATCAAGCTCTAGGTCTAACTACCCTGCTGGATCTTTCTGCTTTACGCATTTTGGCATAAAGTGGAGAGGAGAAAAGCCTGCAGAATGGAAATGTGGGGAGGATTTGGAGCTTACCTCTCACACTGTAAATTCTCCTACACTATAACCTTACATGTGTCTACAAAGACATAAACCCTACTAATTTCAACGGGACTCACTCCTAGGTAATTGTTTATAGGATTTCAGCCTTAATTCTTTAGTAGTTCTTTATGTGTGCATGTATATACATTATTTACATGCTGTCCAATCACAGAAATTAGTTAGGCAGCTTAGAACTTCAATCTAACAGTCACATTCTAATAAGAATACCACAAAAACTCAACAATAAAATCAAGTCAGGCAGAACACAGGTGAAGGAAAATCTTCAAGCCAAAATAATTAAAACAGAAAGCAGAGGAATTAAAACATGGTGAGTTAAACAGTAATAGACCCATACAACATGGTTTAAAAGATCTTTTGAAATAAAAAGTCATATGTCTTGTGCCTCAAAGACATTTGAAAAGGCAATGGGTGGGTCTCTCTTGGGAGGGCATCTATGGTGCAGGTAAAGGTATTACCGAAAATGCCTTTTCTCCCATGTTTGCTTACTGTATATCACTAGTTAAAAATTATTCTTCCTGGGAACAATTATTTATTTATTTGGAATTTTTGTATGCCGTCCCATTTGCATAAGCCTCGGGATGGCTTTCAACATCATAAATAAATACACATACAAATAAATACATATAAAATCTACTTCAAGAAATTACTTCTTGTAATCTCAGTAAGTTTAGTACTAGGGATATGTCAAGTCCCCCAAGAACCCAGTTTGCATCTGCCCGTTAGACTTCTTTTAGTGTTCATCCCTTACTAAGGAAGCAAGCCAAGTTCAGAGGAAATTTGCAAACATTTGTGGACACCGCTGTATGATGTGTGCATGCAAGATCTCCTCTGGAGATCGAGCACTGGTATTTGTTATCCAGAAATGTACTATCTCATTTTCCACCCCTGAATTCAGATCATTAAATTAAATTAAATAGCATTAATATTAATACTGATTCTTAGGGAATGTTATCGCTTGCTTATTTCCACTGTAACAACTGCTGGTTTACTTACACCCTCTATGTCTTCTCCAGTGAGCCAAACTACTTGTTACACTAGTAGCATACCATTTACTGAGTCAGGAGGGGTTTCCTGGGCCATCTAGTCTTAGTTGAGGCTTGTCTTTTTATTGTCATGTAAATGTGTGGTCCCAAGTCTGTATTATAGTCTATTGAGGCTTTTTTAAACCACTTCATGTGGAAGGGAGATACTTCAGAGTAAAATGATGTGTGGGAGAAATTTAGAATTTCCATTGGTACCATGGTATTTACTGGAATACCATGGTACCAATCTGAATTAGGGCAGTGACTTACATGGGAGGTTGTATTGTTGTGTGTGTTTGTTTTTGAAATAGGCGAACCTCAGCTATATGCTGTGTGATTACTGTAACATGGAGTTTGGTTCCAAGACTACCATTTTCATGCCAATTGCTGCTATAAGATCTTCCAGCTTTTGCTTCCAGCTAGCTTCTCCTGTGTTGGTGGCATATCAGAATTGGGATGTATAGAAAATGAGGTCACTGTCTGTCCAAAGAAGTCATTAACTCAGTGGGGAGATGGAAAGCACCTGGGGGGAGGGGACCAGCTGCCAAAGCTGTTGTGATGGCTGCAAGACACAGTTCCCAGTATGAATTATAGGAAAACTTAAGTTAATAGCAAAGTGATACAAGCTCTTTCCAAAATTAATTACCAAAATTCACCTTGTAAAATCAAAAGGCAGGCAGAGCAGCACATGGTTAGAGTCAGACCAGGAAAGAGTTATGAAATGGAACAGAAAAAAATCACTCTTCCTTTGTTACAATTGGATTTCAGATTGGCCATTTGAAAGAAATGACAGTAAACAATATCTGTTTGCCTAAGGAAACTCTCCTAGCAATCAGCTAGTAACACAACTCGGTTTGCTAATGAACCCAAAGCTGTTAATATGGTTTCTTCAGTTAAATTGATTCATGAATTTTGAAGAGAACATTATCTAATGAATTTTCTTTGAATAGAAAGCAATTAAAAGGACAAATCAGTGTGATTAACCCCAAAGTCACCCTAGTGCCACAAATGGTGTACAGTTTGAAATTATATCACAAAAAAACTAGAGCAGATTTGCTATCTCTTCGCCCTCTGCTAATCCATGTAAATTAATGAACAACAAAGTTAATTTCTTTGATGACCCTTTTCTAGTATCACCTGGATTATGCTGATGTTTAATTTGCTTAATGCTATAATAAAGACAAAATAGATTTTTTTCAGTGAAGTGATTATCATTCTGTTCAGTTACAAAGTTATTTTTATTATTTAAAACAAACATAAAAATTTGTGAGTTTCTCTTAAGAACAAAAAGAGAATGCTTTACCAGACTGAGTATCCTGTGAACACACCCCACACACACATGAGCAGAGTTTACATCCCCCACCAAAAAGCCCATGGGGATGCTGGGAGTTGTAGGACTCTTTCTAAACATACATAGGATTGCATCATGAGTTTGCTTGCCCTTATGCTTGGGACTGGTAGAAGAGAGAAAGAAGAAACACAAGCAGAAATAGTAGAACAAGCAGGCTATGGCACAGCATGGACATATTTTAGGTTTGTGGGATCTTAGTTCTTTACCCTGAGATCCACCAACCAGATCCTTATGCAAAGGTAAACACTTTGAAGAATTCTGACTTCAAGAATATGTTCTGAGTATCAGAAATGAACACAGCTCAGAGCCCTGCCACACAAAAATACCTGTTTTTAGTTACCCCAAGCTTTCTTCATTTCAGCAGTATGATTAGGGGTTATTTGGGGTTATTTTATCGCTGCTATTCTTACAATTGGAAGTCAGGAGTCTTTGCTGTTCCACTACAAATCAGTCAATATTCTGTTAGATATACTCTCTCTCTGCCTCTGATGCTGCAACTGCAAAATTCTTGTTCAATGAAACTCAGGCCATAGTATGCCAATCTCTCCTTTTCCATTTTCCCTCCACCAAGTGGTGAACTATGGGCTCTCCATAGTTACATGGACACATGGTTCTTTCCCATGGAATACACTTCCTTGGCACTGTCAAGTGGGTCCTTATCCTTTAAACTTTATCATCGCTGACCAGGATGAACCTCCCAGAAAAGTAACTCCTATTACTTGCCTAGAATGTTTAAAATATCTCCATTTCTCTTCCCTATGTTATAGAAAGGCAGTGCAAGTACATCAGAGCTTTGCTGTTGTTCCAGGCTGGGGAAATGCAGCAAAGCACTGTCCTTTGCCACTGGCTTTCTCTTTCCCGCTACCTTCTGTAGTCAGACCATGTATGGTCACCCAGAGGCAATTTTTAATCACCATAGATGAGTGTCTCATTATCGGCCTGCAGCAACATAAAAAGCATTTTTTTGTGCTTCTCTCCATGCCTTATTAACAACAATATGACAATCAAGAGTAACTAGACAGCAAATGAATAAGTATTTCATTTCTAATGAGTTTTCCATTTAAATATGCAGCATATACTCAGAGACAGCACATCCAGTTGTTACGTTTTCTGATATCTAGAATGTTGAATGGTAGCTTAGGGCCTTTGCTAAAAATAAAAAATAAAAATTTAAAAAATCCAGTCATCCAGGGTTTGCTGGCTGTAGGACTTCTTTTCTGTTATGACCCAGCTGAAGTTTGAAATTAGGAGATACAACAGCTTTTATAAAATAGGTGCTGCCAGTTATTCCCCCCCCCACATTTTTAATTTGACTCTATGCTAATTTATACTCTGCCAATTTAATGGGAGAGCACATTGTATGTGTTAACAGGATAATTGTACTGGAAGCAAATTAAAAATATAGGAAAATCAAAGCTTTGAATGCCTTTTTAATAGTGATCAATTACTTGAAGCGCACTCTCTAATAATCATGAATTTAAATATAGAACACAATAATAGAACTGATTGCTCTGCTAATTTGAAAAAGAAAATGTTGCTGTTCATATCCTAGTTTAAATGTCATTCTCCTGAACTATTTTTATCTTGGTAGGTTAAAAAAAATTAAGTCATGCTTCTTCATTTTTCCTCCTTTCAGCTTCATTCACTAGAGAAGTGTTGTGGACCCTGCTGAAAGATGTGAAATTTGGAGAGACAGTTTCTTACAAGCAATTAGCAGACATGGCAGGCAACAGCAAAGCAGCCAGAGCAGTGGGCGGAGCAATGAGAAGCAATCCTGTAAGTTCATGTCAACTTTAAAATAAACTTGATGGGAGGTGGTGGTTTTAGATGGAAAGCTTTGTGGGCTAAATGTCATTAGATCAAATATATCTGCTGTGAGAACTACTCTACTATGAGTAATAAGGTCAGTAAGTGTTTTTAATCAGCATTAATACATAAACCAGTTTAATATGATTTATTTCCCCATCATTTATTTGAAATAGGAACACTGCATTTAGTTTAATGCATTACGCTATACAAATTCAGTCATTTTCATTTTTTTTCTTTTTTCTTTTCCTTGTTTCAAGTAGAAAGCTTGTGTTTTATGGATAGGGATTTGTCCCACTCAGGGATAAGATCCTGTTAGGTTATAATAGCATTAGAGAGGTTTAGAAGTAGTACACTTTGTTTTCATCACCTGGAAACCTTTCTGGTTACATGAGCTCATCTGGTGTGAAAGGGCAAAATACCTTCTGCATTCTTCAAGGAATGAATTTGACTTAGAGCCCCAGTGTGTCAGGTTCTGGATTTTGGGCTCCAGGCACATTCTGGTCTTCTCCACACGATGAGTCAGAAAGTCACTGTTGCTCTATTCTTATGGCATAGCTCCATTAAAGACTATGAATCTCACCAATTTAGGCAATGTAGAACATGGCCTTTTAGTTGTAGAGTGCAGGAAGTATAATTATAAATTACTTTAGCCATTTTTGCCCCATTAGTGACATGTGTCTGACTATTGCCTTAGATATTTTTTAATTTCAGATTATTATCTTGACATAAGAATTGGCTGACATTTATAACTATGACCTATGTTGTAAGTGTGAAGCTATCTAGGTGCTGGCACAAAGCTTTAGGATAACCTTACTGATTTGCTTGCATTAGCGAAGGTCAGGGGAGGAAAATGGCTTTCTGCTTTCCAAGTGTCACTGGTTTACATTTGAAAAGCATATTGTTCTTCACAATGTAAGCTCTAAACAAGGAAGCCATGCATACTACATCTTTTCTTTGTAATATTTAATAACATTTTGGTGCATGGATTCAAGTACCTGCTGTCTTTTGAACTTTGTGTACTAGCATCAGAGCTTAATGTGTCATTGGCAGCAATCATGTATCACTATATTACTGAGAAAGGTGCATAAAGACCCAGGGTCTAATTTGAATCCTTAGTCTAAGAAACTGTTTTCCATGGCAGGTCTCCATCCTGCAACAAAGTCTCTTTTGTTAAGAGCTCTTGAGCATGTGCTTCCATCACTCTTGAGTAGCTATAACACACATTCAAACATTATTACCAAGTAATACAGGGCAACTTAGGCAAAGACCTGAAGCTCTAGAACAGTGATCATTACTGTTTTTCAAGCAAGTGCTTCTTAGGCTTTAGGTACTGCCACTTAAGGGCCTGTGCATTGCAACATTGTAGCTAGTCAGTCTTATTGCTCTTTGCCTCTTGAACCGACATGGTTAATTAGCTGATTGCTCTTGTGTTCTCCTCTTCCCTTTCCCAGCTGCCTTATAGCTGGTAAGTGGTAGATCTCCTGATGTCCACCCCCCAAAAACCCCACCTCCTCTGGTAGACCAGATCATAGCAGCCAGGTCATTAATAAAGCAAGCAAGGCAAAGCTAGAAAGTCTCTGGTGAATGTCAAGAGTTACTGCACTAAGAGAGAAAAAGGCAGAGAGATGTCCTTGAGGTAACTGCATGCTGCCAGTAGTCCTTAATCCTTGCAATGAAAAACTCTGCTCTAGAATAAGGGTGCATAATCCTTGGGCAGCAAGTGGTCCCCAAAGTGCTATTTCATGCTTGCAAGGCTGTCATGGCAGATGCTGCCAACTCCCCACCCAAACATGGTAAGATAATACCACTTTGGGGGAAAAAACCAGTACCATCAAGAGTCATACAGAATTTCTAAGACATGAACCACAGAGCCCTCTGTGGGTGGTTGCCACATTGCTGTAGATGGAGTACAGTCTGCTAGCTTCTGTTAGAAATCATCATGGCTGTTTGCTTTCTGTCAAACCCGTGACCATTTGTTGGCTACCAGTTTCTGGAGAAACAGTTTATTTCTTAATTTTAATAGGAGGAATTACCTGTGAAATTTTAAATTAAATTGGTGTGAACTGTCATTAGGATGCTACCTAAAGTTCACATGTTAAATTCAACAGCATGAACATGAGTTCATGTGGAAAATCAAATTGAATCAATAACTTGGGGTAAGGGTGTAGTTGGGCTCAAAAAGTTTGTCATAAATCAGCTCTTTTTAGTACACATCAGCACAGTATAGCTAAGTTCAGGCATCAACCCTGCCCCTAAAAATGTCTCTGCTAACTTCAGAGGCTAAGAAAGAGGGTCTGAAGGAGCTTCACTTGAATGCATGTAGAAGCCTATAGGCCAAGAGTGAGGAATTTTGACCAACCACTGCTGCCAGCTCTAGCCAGCATAGACAAGGATGAGGGAGCTGTGGGCCAAAACATCTGGAAGGCTACATGATGCGCAGCCCTGCTCCACATTATCAATCAGGAATCCTGATAAAACAAGCTAATCATATGTGGGCTTCTCCTTGCATTCAAGCAAACATCAGTCTATTTCTCCTCAAGTCCATACCTCCCACAGCCCTGCAACTTCATATGAGGTCCCCCAACATGCAGAGATCAGGGATGTTCAGGGAGGGGTCTGTAAGTATGTTCTTAGCCTCTTTCTTCCCACGTAAAGCCCTCACATGAGCAGGCTGAATACATGTATGCATGTGAGTTTCATAGGGTATGGCTGAGTATAGGAAAGTATGTGTGATATATGGTTCCTATTTTCTGTCTCATACACCCATATGTATTCAAACTGTTCCCGTAAACACCACAGGTCTCATCTGTTACAGTATTTGGGTATATATTGGCAGGAGAAGAATATATAGAGCCATTGAACCATCTGTGTACCTCCTTCTAGCTCCAAAGCAGTATAGATAAAAATATTCCTTGCTCTTTCTTTCAAACATAGAATGATGCAAGGACAATACTATTAATAATATAATAGTATAGTAGTATGATAATAGTATTGCCACATTATTAGTATATTATTAAGTTGGGTAAATGCATGATGATCACTTGAGTACAAATGCTCCATGGCTAGGCCTGTTTCACAAGTGAAATTAGAGTCGTGTAGTATCGAGATGTTTTATTTTGGTGTTTGCAGTAGTTCCAGTATGACTTCATAAGGCCCTCCAAATGGTGGTTAAAAATAGGTTCAGTGAATCCCAACTCAGAGACACCTTGCCAAAGCTATTATGTGGAGACTCTTTTATTCTGCAAGCTTACCAATTATTATGTGATGAGGTATGCAATTTTTTAAAGACAAAAAGTACTCCCAACAGATTAAAATGAGATAATTTTTTTTTTTTTGAAGTTGGATCCTGAACTGTCCTCTGGCAAACTGGAGTACACGGAAGGCTTTTGATACAGCAGCCTCCAAGACCCAACCCAACACACACACACACACACACACACACACACACACACACCTATATTGTTGCTCATGGAATAGTAGATAAAACCATTTTTAATGGGAAACAAACAACACAAACTTGAGCTCATAGTACAGCTAAAGGTAAAGGTTTCCCCATGACATTAAAGTCCAGTCATGCCTGACTCTAGGGGGCGGTCCTCATCTCCGTTTTCTAGCCAAGGGAGCCAGCGTTTGTCTACAAACAGATTCCGTGGTCATGTGGCCAGCATGACTAAACACTGAGGTGCACAGAACGCTGTTACCTTCCCACCAAAGTGGTACCTATTTATCTACTTGCATTTATATGCTTTCGAACTGCAAGGTTGGCAGGAGCTGGGACAAAGCACGGGAGCTCACCCCATCATGCAGATTCGAACTGTCAAACTTTTGATCCACCAGCCCAGCAGCACAGCAGTTTAAACCATTGCGCCACCTGCAGTCTCAAACATGAGCTCATAGTACATGAGGGCAATTATGATCTTATAGGAATAACGGAAACTTGGTGGGATGACTCACAGGACTGAAACTCTACAATTGATGGATACAACCTGTTCAAGCAAAAAAAGAAAGGACAATAAGGGAGGTATAGTTGCACTATATGTAAGAGACACATATAACTGCACAGAAATACAAGAAGAGAAACTTACTAGCCCCATTGAAAGCATCTGGCAAAATTTAAAGTGAGCAAAAAATAAGAAAAACATAGTTGTTGGCATATATTACCGTCCATCCGGTCAAAAAGAGGACAAGGATGCAACCTTTGAATAGCAACTTGCCCACATTTCCAAGAAGAATGATTTAGTCATCATGGGGGAGTTCAGTTTCCCTGATATATGCTGGGAGACAAATTCCGCCAAACATGGCCCTTCCAAGTGATTCCTGACATGTGTTGCCAACAACTTTCTCCAGCAGAAAGTAGAGGAAGGTACGAGAGGATCAGCTACCCTCAATTTAATGCTAACTAACAGGGAACTCTGGGGGTACATGACTATACAATACTTGAATTCTCAATTAAAAAGGAGACAAAGGGTAAGTGGAGCCAAACTAGCATCCTGGACTTCAAGAAAGCCAACTTTGCTTATCATTTATCTGAGTTTGTAAAGTGCCATGGCAACACACCCTTAAGGGGAAGGCATCCAAGAGGAGTGGAAAATCTTGAAAAAGAAGATTCTCAAAGCACAACTCCGAACAATTCCATCAAGACAAAGGTGTAGAAGACAGCAGAGGAAGCCCACGTGGCTCCACAAAAGGTTAAGTGACAGCCTAAAAGAAAAAAATAACATGTTCAGGAAGTGGAAGCAGGGCCAGGCCACAGAAGAAGAATATAGACAAATAGCAAGACATTGCAGGGACAGCATCAGGAAGGCTAAAGCAGGAAATGAACTGAGAATGGCAAGGGATACTAAGAACAACAAGAAAGCCTTTTTCAGATACATCCAGAACAAAAGACGTGAGAAAGAGAAGGGTGTCCAGCTACTTAAAGTGGATGGCAGAGTGATAACAGATGGCAAGGAAAAGGCAGAGGTGCT